CCAGAATTCCCTGCGCACTGTAGCATAAACAAAATCTTTTCTTGGTGACAAAACTCATTAAGTGTATAAAATATATATTTTCTTTTGAGGTAACCAGAAAGCTTTGTTTTTGCTTGAATACTTGACAGGGCTCAACTGTATTACCCATTAACTGGGCATTTAAATGATTATCAGAGGTTTATTGGTTAGAATAAGGTTAAGAAATAAATTCACATGGGATTTAAATTAATTCAAGTGATGTGAAGAAAAGAAATACAAACTTACATTCTTTTCTGCTTCTGTACAATTTCTGGAAAGTCATAGAATTGATAATATGATACATAAAAAGTAGACCTTTATAATTTTTTAAAGAAAATGTGATTTTTAAATAATGCATTTGCCTAGAATAGCCTGACTGAAATGCTTCATCTGACTCATTGTGAAAATCAGTGTCAGATGCCAATGCAGTCTAATAACCCTGTGAGGACTGAAGAGTTTGAACTTGTGCTATTTCAGAGCATGCAATGCATTTTTAAACATATACAATCATTTTAAACTGTCTATTTTATTCAGAGTTTTGCATTAAAAAGATTAGGGTCATTTTAACGTAGCTTGACAAGCACAATAAAATGGGTCGCTCTTCAATTGTCGTATGTACCTGTTGATGAAAAAAAGTTGTTTCAACTGCAATGTTTAAATTATAAACAAAAAAAATAATATAAATAAAAAATATTTTTAAATCCAATGTTCTATCATGCAGGCCTCTTTTATTATTTTGTATTCAGTTGCATATTAAACTCACCCCCCCTTTAGTGTATTGACAATTTAGTGATTGATCACATAATTGGGACTAAATAATTAAAGTGTGGTACACGTGCCATTTTGCCTGTTGGAAATCATTACTTGCTATAATTACATGCTGATGCATGGCACTGTTGCTTGTGGAGCAATAATTAAATACCACAGCTCGAATCACTGCCATTTTTATGTTACAAATGTATAGACAACCTTGTTTTTAGTAGATGAATGATGTGGTGCATCATGTAAATTACTGAAATACTTCATGAATCTATATATTATTCCGAATGCATATAATAATAATTATTAATAACAACAACATTTTCTCCACAGAAAAGGTAGTAGTGCAACATCACTCTCTATTGTACTTGTTGTGAATAAGAAAACACAAGAATAGTTCAATAATGCCCGATTAACTCTGTTGCATGTTTAAACTGGAAGTGCTTGTAAGACCTTCTCATCACTTTAGACCTTTGACTTTCTGTATTCGAGCAGAAGAGCAGTTACTACGTGTTTTGCAAATCATGCTGAGTGGGGAGGCCAACAGGGCAGCTAGTCCAGTAGCGAGCCTTTTCACAGTGTAATCAATGTGGAGATGGGGGTGAGAGTCCTTAGGTCAGCCTCCATTATTTCAAGTTATTGCTGTATGCTTGGGGCCTAGGTTTTGTGGTCAGCTCATTTATCACCAAGTCAGCCTCGTGCTCTTGATACAGTGACCTTAATTGAGGTACTCTCCTATCCTATGACAGGAGAAACCCTTTACCTGTTCCTGAGTTTGCCTGTACATAGGTTATAATGTTGTTAGCAGAGCTGAAAGTTGAAGGAATTAGTTACAGTTTCTATAAATAAAATTTGAAAGAATATTTTAAAAAATGCATTCAGACCAAGAAGGCTGGCTCCATTATTTATGCTATAGTTTTACTTTTCTTTACTTCCCCCTTAGAACCTTTAAGACAATGTTCAGCAGATTTCAATTTTAAATTCTATTTATTCATTTATTTTTGCTTTCTGACCTTATCATTTCATTTAATTTCCCTTGTGCCATATTTACAAATCTGACAGAAGTTTACTTTTATATGTATACTTTAAATATCTCAAACTAAAAAATGTGAAGCAATGTGTATACTTTTTGTCTACCAATTTCTTTAATCCAGTGTAATTTGCAAAAGAATCTGCATCTTACATATCTACGCATAGGAGATATCAAAAGTTTTAAAATTATGATTTAAAGGAACTAGGTAGGCTCCTCTACAGAAGATGTAATACTCATGATTCACATTCTGTGAGAGACATTTTTACAACAGTTTAGACTTGATTACTAAAGTGGATAATATAAACCTTTCTGCTAAACCTTCTGGCTGAGAATAATAAGTGCAGCTAAGGTCAGCTGCTGGGTTTATAAAAGCATCTTCATTTACAAAGTTATGGGCTTTTAGATTTAAATATAAACCCCAACACGAGAATGAAAATGGATCGGTATAGTTTGATACTACAGTATATTATGTTCCAGACACCTTCTTCAATATCACTTTGCAAGCTGAATACAAGAGTTTTTTTTTTCCAGTCAGATCATTTAATATGAACCATGAAGTGCATTCAAACTTTATTTTGTTGTGTAAGGGAATCTACCGTGAAATCAATAGATTTTCTGAAACAATATAAACGACCACAATTTTCAGTTCCTCTTAGTCTATGGCAATCAGGTAATCAAGAACTTTTATTACCCACAAAAGCAAGTAAAACAAACACATCATTGTTCTTAAGAATATCTTGTGTATCTTAATCATTCAGCATCCTCACTAAATGAAAGCTGTCATTCCTTTTTTAATCACAACATGTTTTTACAAAAATGTTCTAAAGCATTCCTATTTTCTATAGGCCTGGTTTTGCAGTTTGCAAATTAAATCCTTAAAATCAGGGGTGTCAGATTCCTACTGCAGGGATGGGTTACCTTTACTTGCTACCAGAGGAGTAAGGATGGGAAATCTCAGGTCCTGGAGGGCTGGCATGCCTGCAAGTTTTCTAGGTTTCTTTCCTTTTCAAAGCACTAGCAGGTGAAGAGGAGGGGGGAATTGAATTGGTCCTATTAAGCTGATTTAGTATAGTAAGAGCTGAGTTGGACTGAGAACACCCATACAACACCAGCCCTCCAAAATCAATGTTACCCTTTTCTGGTCTGCTGTGTTCTGGTGTTTGCTCCAACCCAAGTAGTCAATTAAACAATCAACAAAACTGCCTAACGCATAGGATGTTTCTGAAGGTCATCTTATCAAAGGTACAGTTACTTATAAAGCACCAAGGAGTCAGGATAAAAGAATTGCAATTGTGCAAGTAATAAAATAATTATAGCAATCATGTAACTGAGTGAATTGGTAGAACACAAACAAGAAGATAGAAACTTTGGCAGTATTGTGGAATAGTAGTAAGGGCTTTGGACAGAAAAGTAGAACACTTACTATGGTCTTGAGCAAAGAACTTCACTCTAATCGAAGCCCTGCTGAATAAATACAGTATATCTCCAGATCATCACTGAAAATGAGAATTTGTTCTCAATTCACTAGTGAACAAGGAATAATAAGAAGACACTAGGCCTTCCAGAAATTAAGTCTGACATTACTGCATTAAGTGAAAGATGATTGATTAATTCTATTGACTATTGTCAGCCTTCTATTTGTATCACTAGAAAGGGACACTGCTCTTAAGTGGAAGTGATCAAAGATGTAGCTGATAGAGTCTGAACAACCTTATCAGACAGACTCAAACCTGTGTGTGACCTGGACGGTTATTGGAACTGCTCTCAACAAGATTGACATGGGGCTTGCAGAATCTGTGTCGATCTAAATTGAGAAATACAATTGATTGTTTTGAAGGGTGTTAAGCTATAAATTGTCAATCTGATTCTGCAACAAGATAAAAAAGAAACAATTGGGCTTTTTTTTTCTTTTAGTGTCTTTCTCTTGTTATCAAATTAATGCTTTCAGTGGTGGAAAACAAAATCCCATCTGGGCTGATAATCGACGGGAGGTTACATTAAAACAGCAACAATTACCTAAATGGCACAATCAGCCTTTGGTGATTTTTTTAAATGCAACAATTGACGTACACCTGTCCTATATCCATAAATACTATTTTTGTTGTTCATTTAAAAATAAAATAAACTTACACACAGTATACAGTATACGGTTTCATAATAGGGTATTTCCAAAAAATGTGTTTTTTAAGCAAGATACCAAAAATTAGTTTTTTACCCTCATCTCAATCCAAGGTGTCTGTCAAAACTATTTGCTTCTGAATGTATAGTCAGTGACAAGGAAAATCAGTGGGAACAATTGGTATTGCTGAGAGGCACAACCACTGTACAGTATGTCTCTGGAGTTGGAAAAGTTTGCTTTGAGAATAAATCACAGGATGGAAGATTTAGTCTCCTCTTTAATAAGAGAAAGTCTTGGTAAAAGCATGATGATCCTTTTCTGATACTTAAAAAAATAAATCTCTGAATCATTATAAATACTGAGAGCTCTGGGTTTGACTAAAGAGACATTTTTTCAGAGCTTTTAAGATGATTTAAGATCGCAGGCTCATTACTGCAAACCTTAATGGATTTTAATATATATTATGGAAAATATCAAGTTCCATGTTTGTAATATTCAGCTGGAATGTAAGCAAAAATGTGAGATTTAATTAAAATCTGGGCTATAGTTGGATACTTTCTTTTAAGAGAGGCTTCAGTTTGAACATGATCATAATCTGTGTATCACAGAATTGAATAAATTAAGTGCTAAACCGAATATCAAAATATGTTCACAACAGTAAAACTAGGATTATTTAATGTCCTTATTTTTTGAGAGGTAACCAAAGATAAAATAAATTTTATAGGAAATGGTATTGATTTTATACTGGCAACATGTTATTAAAACAATATCAGTGTGGTAGACTTACAATGCACTCTAAATATGCTGATCTAAATTCTGTTTTAGTTCAATCTTTCTCTAGGAAACACACATCAAGATCTGACAGCAGTATCTGAGCTGACAATGTGAAGGAAATCAAAGATGATAAAAACACAAATGCAGCCTGACATATTTTTGTGAACTGAGTAGATTATAAAGTGAACCTAAAAAAAGTCAACATAACTATACTGTATTATTACTACTTAAGGTCTGTAATATTATTTTCATTTTTATGCACACAGTAATTCCATGCAAAACAAAAATTCTACTCACATTTGTTCTGTTTTCTTCGCTGGAGTTTGGCTGAAAGAGTGGCTCCTCATCAGTGGACACATCACTCTCTTCTTGTGGTGTATGTCTGTGCATGCTTCTTCGAAACAAAGAACTCATCTTCACAACCTTAAATCACTGACACACGTTATATAACATATGGTTAAAAAAGCAACACACAGTCTCAGTTGTCAAATCTCAACAATTAAAAAGACCCATTTGAATACATAACAAAAACAATCAATGAACACAATTTTGGATCTTTTTAGTTTAAACAGAGTACTAATTATTCACAATGCCGGGAGAAGACATTCTAGAGTCCCTCACATGATTTGTCCCAGAGTTCCAGTGTTATCTTTATTTTGAGCTGGGTGGCTTTATTCTCAGCAACAGTGAATTGGGTATTTAGTGGTCAAAGCTGCTGACAGACCAAAGCCTTTTCAAATGCTTTCAGCTGTGTAGGACATTTTTTGTTTTAACAGTATCTACTGTGAAGGTTCTCACAGAGGTTCTCGCAAGGTTGTTTTACACAGGAACTGTAAAAGGTGAATGTGTGTTCATGTAGAACAATAAATATTGTAACACCCCCCCCCCCCTTCAGACGCATAACATAACGTTGAATAAAATATTGGTGTTTAGCTTTCATTGCCTGACCATACACAGCTACTGTATTAAAATGACTTAGCTTAAAATGATAGAACAGAAAATATTTCCTTAATACAACTGTCATATGAAAACACAGGGGTGCTTCTGAGCAGTTCAACCAGTAAAGGTGTTGTCTCTAAATGCAAGCTGAGCATAAGACTTTGGGACTTCACGCCTGGGTTGTGGCACTAGCTGACAGGAGCTGGATTCCCCAGGCAGTGGTGCTCAATTGTCTCTGTGCTCTCCTTGGGATTTCCACTGACCTTCATGATCTTGCAGGCTTGTGATGAGGAGTATACCTCTCCTCCAGCTGGCATTGAACCTCACTGGACATCACTGTAGGGACTGCAGCATGTCAAAAGATGCATACTGTAGCTTAAGGGTGGGCAGACGGGAGTATCCTGTCTGCAAATGTACATGCTATACAGAATATACAATTTAAGAAAATAAAAATTCAAGAAATCCAAAACAATCAACTCGGGATCAAGACGCTTTTATCTTCCCTTTTTATGTCTCCATTCTATGGCAGTGGAGATAACACTGAGACAAGAAAAAGGAGGGGTGAAGATCAATGGAGCTTAAGGGGCTCCTGAGAGGCTCAGCAAGCAAAGGCACTCATGATTAAGTCCTATTTTCCTGCTATTACCAGTACAGGTCTGAACTGTGCTTATGACTGATAATTCCCAGAGCTGGTGCACAATTAGTCAAGTATCACTGGAGCTGGACAGACTTGAGATGGAGAAGGTAACTTTGGCTTGTTCTGTAACAGTGGACAACTGGCTTACTAGGCATCTAAGAGATCACTGTGTTGTCTGTGAGCACTGCCTTATTCCTTCAGCCAGTGCACAGTGTAGTCACTAGTAGTGAAAATACTGGTGAACGACTCTGACAAGTGCAAGCTGATTCTGGCACTTACAAATTTAAAAGATTGATGAAAAGATAAGTGTTTATGGAAAGCTCCCTGAAGCATTTGTCCCCAAACTGATGCAGAGCACTTTTGAATGTGATAGAGTGGAGAAGACAAAGGAAAGGCATCATTTAGGACTACAGTCATGGGAACAAAGCAGGTATTGACAAGGGAGTCATATAACATTTGTGTCTTTGAACACACAAAGCTTCAATGGGTCCCTTTAAGTAATGCTTGATTTTCTGTCTTCTGTTGTGTTTATGTAAGACTCATATAAGAAATGTACATACAGTATAATTGTAACATTTTACTGTATTTTAGTCTTCATTCAAAAAAGGATTTAATGCTCTATGTTACAGACTTTTTACATCTGCAGCAGTGTTGCTTACAATTCCAATTGTCATCTTGGACTCTTTATTTCTCATTTATTGTTATATTTGTTCTCTTCACAAATAAAATGAACAACTAGAATTGCATGATAACACTTAATAAAGCACTCATGTGTTTGTTCTGTAATGCTTTGCAGATCACAATAGCTGGAGGCAAAATTTGAATACGCCTTATTGGAAACCATGACAGAGCACTATAATTGAAAGCACTTAATTCAGGACATTCTAATTATGTTTATCTTTTTATTTTACAGTTATAATCCAACTTCATTTTCATTCTCTCACATTTGCCTATGTTCACCCACACAGCTCTAAGAGAATGGAATGGTACATTGTTATAAAATGGCAGAGATCATATTCCTTTTTATCTCAGACTACATGATAACATCCATAACTTGATCAAAAGAAAACATGACTATGCCACTTTTAAATTCAACAGAAATTTTATTCATTCTGAAGAGTAGGACCCAATCAGTGTTTATCACAGCCTACATTATGGGCCATAACAGCTTGTCCCATTCCAAGGTTAACAGCTTAAAATGTTATTCCATACACACAAAACACAACTATAGATTTGGGTCAGCATTTGTCGTGCAGTGATAGAATTCTCACATCACATTAAAAGCCCAGGTTTGATTCCTGCCCAATGCAAGACTCCTTATTATGGGCTAATTGATTTAGAACCAGCCATGTTGCTTAATTAAGTATAATACTTTAAATTAGAAACAGCAGTAATGGATACAGACAGAGCGTATGATAAGTTCTACATACATTTTCAGAAGACTTGTGGTAAAGCTTCTCTTAAAAAGATTAATTCTAAACTGCATGTAATTTTCTTCCAAAATTCTTCCAAAACGGAAGAGGAAAGAGTATTAATAAGGAGTAAATACTCATATTGGAGTGATTTTGGAGTACCACAGGGATCTGTATTAGGCCCACTGCTATTCCTTAATCATATCATCATCATTATTATTATTATTATTATTATTATTATTATTAATAATAATAATAATAAAAATAAATAAATACTTTGTTACTCTTATATAGCACTTTTCTGAACACCCTACTCAAAGTGCTTTAAAGGTAATGGGGACTCCCCACCATCACAATATGCAGCATCCATCTCAACGATGGGGGGGCCTTTATTTGCAAAGGCCAATGGGAAATTTGGCCAGGATGCCGGGGTAACACCCATACTCTTTTAAAGAAACACCCTGTGATTTTAATGATCACTGAGAGTCAGGACCTCAAACACTAAAGAGGATCCAAATGTTCAAAATGGAACATAATAGGCACATTTTGAGTAGACAAGTGCATTGCATGAAGGCAGGAAAAAGATTCACTATAAATATAAGGTGGGAAACAGAAATAGAATAAGCTAGTTATAAAAAAAACAGGCATTTATACTGTATTGACATTTTCTGCATTTCAGTGCATATACGTTTATTTGTAAATAAAAACCTGGATCACCAACCTGTTACTGTATGTTTGAAATGATATGAGATAATAACGGCAGTTATGTGTTATCATTAGTTTTCATAGGAAGCAAATTGCTTCTACCATGTGTATTTTACTACTGCAAGTAATTAAAATGCATAGACATTGCAGCAACTTGTAGCTAAAATATACAGTATTTGAACAATATTACTAATAAAAAGAGACAGCAAGAGACTATTCTGGCTTGTACTATAACTCCAAATTTGAGAGGTCTTTTAATTTTAAGCTTTTTGAAAGTTCTTGTGATTCACCTCTGTTTTTAAATCATTTCAGATTCAACTCCAGTAGAGTCTTACATGCATCAGTAGATTACTGCACAGTAATCCTCTCTATGCATACTCTTGTTTTGATTGAAACTTGATCTACAAACAGCACCAATACTTATGAGAGATTTTCTTATGTTCGGTGAATCTGTTTCTATACTAATTTCTATTTCTCTATGTATTTCTCTTTAGTAATATCATCAATTTTTAGAAATGGCTTATTAATGTGTGTGAAGACACTGCATTGCAGGCCGCAAATCCATTTAAGGCATCTAAGAAACAATCCTACAGACACAGAACATTTTTGCAGGAATATCCAATTAATATGTAACGCATTAATAGTCACGTTTCAGTGAATACCCAATACAATAGGCCTTATTGACATAAAGTTGCATTTAATAGACTGTCTTGGCAAGCTATGAACATATAGTAGCTGCTCCCACATCTAATGTGGTCACAATTGCTTTTGTATAATTTATTTATTTCTGCATTTTATTCCATGATAAATTCAGTAATGGTTAAGAAAAAAAGCTTGCTGAATGAAGAAAATATAATACAGCTTAATGCTCAAAGACATCTGGTTTTCTTGAATAATCACCTAGACATTCCAGGACTTGGTGATGATTAATTCTCTGTAGACCCATTAAGGCACTGCTAAAATCATGAAACCCCTAGATGGGATGTTGAACAAATCTGTATACCTGCTGTACATAGAACAATAGCTTTTGAGTCTGTTGATACTGTGACTTTAAACTGCACCTTTTTATAAAAAGTATGCTTTATTTATGCTACAGATGAGGTTGAAACTCTTTCTTCTTCTGTCAGTAAGAGCTACAGCTTATGAAAAAGAAAACTCATAGCACCAAACACAAAGTTGTCAAACATCAAGAAGTAAAACCTTGTGAAAACAAACAGTTTGTGTCATATCACCAAATAGGATGTCAAGTCAGTCTTGTTGAAGTGAGTAGGAAGTCCTTGAAAAACAATTGCGGCAAATATTGCTTCAATGCTGGGGCATGCATCAGAAGCTGAAAGTAATGTTTAAAGTAAATAAAAGAAGATGCATAAAATATTTACAACAAACATTAGCTGAACACCTAACATAGCTGAGTGTTACTTAAAACCATTTCAGCTAAATAAAAAAACAGTCAGACCTGTTTCATGCATAGTAAAATGCAGCTAATACAGCATTTCCAGAGAAACATTGCATGACGACGTTATATATGATTCAGTCAAGAGAACTCATTCAATTAGTTACTAGAGCGTGCATTGTACAATGGTGCTAGATCATTTAATGATTACACAGTTATATTTAATGTGGAGAATACAAATGAACAGCAAGGGAGATTTTGGTAAGTTGTAAGTCTCCCCCCTCCTTGCAGTTTTTTTATGTTTTTGTTTTTTGACTGTGGAACAAAAATGTTTGTTGTCTGATTATATGTGGAGTAAGAAGACATATTCTGTGATTGTTCTTGTGTTGCTTGATGAGCATGTCAGTATTTTACCAGTCCTTAGGAAAAGTATGATGTCTTCATCAGCATAACACATCTGAAATTATG